TGCTATTGATTCCGCGGTCTGATCTTGTAGAGGCACTAAAATTACGAATTTTGAAAAGAGGTCTTGTATAGACAGGATGTATTTATTTAGATTCTTAGTTATGTTCAGCGGTCCTACTATATCCATGGCTATTTTGTCAAAAGATCTCATCGGTGTATCCGTAATGACCATTGGTAACTTTGTCTTATTTCTTTTTAACTTATTTCTTTGACAATCTTCGCAATTCTTTATTCGTCTTTCGATATCTGTTTTCAAATTTTCCCAACCCAATAGTATTTGTCTCTTATACGATTCCAAGTTCTAGTTACTCCTGAATGTCCCCCTAGTGCGCTTGAATGATTTAAGTCGAATATTCTATCGCGATCCTTTGATTTTACATATTCTATATAGTTTAAGCAAATAACAATATTGATATTGGAGTTCTCGAAAACTTGTGCTATTATTTCCTTTATATTTTTCCAGGTAAGACTATTTATTTGCAGGTCTTTTCATATGCTGAACCTGTCAATTTTTTGTCTTATTAAAATTTCTTTTAGTAGTCTAAAATTTACTTTAATATTATCTTTAATGCTTATCGTGGATTGACACGTATCAATGCATATTACGAAAAATTTTATGCATATAATTTATATCAAACAAAGCATTATTAACGACTATTAATCACATTGTTCACGATATAGTCCATTTTTTTTCAATGGTTCAGAATCATGTTGAATAAGATGCGCTAAATACTTTACACGCCAGATAGTTAAACTCAAATACTAAAATCCAAAAAACCTGGGACCTGCGAGTTTCATATGCCAGAGAAATGGAACCCAGATACTGAACCCCAATAACCCTGGACGCTGCAAACCTTACACGCCAGATAGATCAATCCAAATACTGAACCCCATGGAACCTCAGCGCTGCGAGTTCTATACTCCCGAACGGGAAAACCCAAATCCTAAACCCTCATAACCCTGTACTGCAGAACTTTACACGCCAGGAAAGTATACCCCAAATACTAATCCCCAAGAAAACTAGGCGCTGCAGACCTTACACGCCAGATAGATTAACCGAAATACTCAACCTCATGAAACCTGGGCGCGGCAGACCTTACACGCCAGATGACTGAACCCAAATACTAAACCCCAAATACTCTGGGCGCTGCGAGTTTCATACGCCAGGAAGGTGAGAAACCCGAATACTAAACCCCAATAACTTTGGGCGCTTCGTACGTTACGCTCCAGAAAGGTAAAGTCCAAGTACTATACCCCAAGAACACTAGATGCCTTGCATGCCAAATAGTTTAACCCAAAGACTAAAACTCAAGAACCCTGGGCGCTGCGAGTTTTGTACGGCAGGGAGGTAAACCTCAAGTACTAAATCTCAAAAACCTTGGGCGCTGCAGACCTTACACACCAGATAGTTTAACCCCAATACCAAAACCCATGAAACCCTGGGCGCTGCAGATCTTACAGGCCAGGAAAATATACCTCAAATACTAAACCCGAAGAACTCTGGGCGCTGAATACCTCACACGCCAGATAGATTAACCGAAATACTCAACCTCATGAAACCTGGGCGCGGCAGACCTTACACGCCAGATGACTGAACCCAAATACTAAACCCCAAATACTCTGGGCGCTGCGAGTTTCATACGCCAGGAAGGTGAGAAACCCGAATACTAAACCCCAATAACTTTGGGCGCTTCGTACGTTACGCTCCAGAAAGGTAAAGTCCAAGTACTATACCCCAAGAACACTAGATGCCTTGTACGCCAAATAATTTAACCCAAAGACTAAAACTCAAGAACCCTAGTCGCTGCGAGTTTTGTACGGCAGGGAGGTAAACCCCAAGTACTAAAAATCAAAAACCTTGGGCGCTGCAGACCTTACACGCCAGAAAGTTTAACCCCAATACCAAAACCCATGAAACCCTGTGCGCTGCGAGTTTCATATGCCAGATAGGTGAAGCCCAGATACTAAACCCCAATAACCCTGGGCGCTGCAGACCTTACAGGCCAGGAAAATATTCCCCAAATACTAAACCCGAAGAACTCTGGGCGCTGAATACCTCACACGGCAGATAGATTAACCCAAATACTGAACCCTATGAAACCTGGACGCTGCAGACCTTACACGCACGATGTATACCTTACAACCCTGGGCGCGAGATAGCTTGAATCATATACTAGGCCCCGAAATCCCTGAGCGCTGCGTGACGTAAGGATTTAAAAATCCAAATAATTATTTCCGCTCCTCAACTTAAGGGGACAAGCCGGTGTTAAGTGCCCCTTCGAGTACTTAGTGATGAAAACTGTTTCAAACCGATTACAGCCGTTGATACAGACTAATAAAAGGAAATTTCTGTTTTCAGGTTTTAATACCGGCTGGTCCCCTGTTTCATTCATTGCGTGTGAGGTGTGTAGGGTTCGTGGGGATAGTATTTGGGTTTTACTTTCCTAAAACACGGGGTAGGGTTCTTGAGGTTGAGTATTTGGGGTTTACTTTCATGACGTGTAAGGTATGGAGCGCCCGGGTTCTTCACCTTCCTGGCGTATGAAACTCGCAGCGCCCAGGGTATTTGCGGTTTAGTATTTGGGTTCAATCATCTGGCGTGTAAGATCTGCAGCGCCCAGATTTCATGGGGTTCAATATTTGGGTTAATCTATCTGGCGTGTAAGGTATTCAGCGCCCAGAGTTCTTTGGGTTTAGCATTTAGGGTATACTATCCTGTCGCGTAAAGTTCTGCAGCGCCCAGTGTTATTCGGGTTTAGTATTCGGGTTTTCCCTTCCTGGAGTATAGAACTTGTAGCGGTCAGAATTCATATTATATTTGTACTTATTATGTCTAGTTCTCTTTTGATATAAACAAATTGTTTTTTTATATATTTTTTTACATATTTTGATTATAAAACTTTTAATAGGCATCTTATTCTGTGCTCGAAATATCTAGCACATGTAACAGGATCATTTTGAATCAGTAAAGCTTTCTCACGCCATTCTAAATAGGAAGCTTCTTGTATGTAATTTCTGTTTTATCCTTGACGTATCTTAGTATTCTTATTAATTCTGGCCACTGGGTTTCTGCAGCTGAAAGTGTCATGAAGAAAGTAGGTTTTCCTATTTGTCGGATCATTGCTAATAATTCTTTTTTTTTTTTTTTTGATTCCCAAAATGATGGACTTGATTGGTCACAATTAAAAATTCTGAAACAGTCATCATCTCGTATCAAATTATTTACTATTGAGTTGCTTAGTACATCGTTAACTGTAACGTGCCCTTGTTTTCTTTTCATTTGTAAACTTATTTGTATATTTGAAGATAGTCTTTCTAATCTAACTCGGCTATGAAGTGCGAATATAAGATATTTTGCACATCTTCTGTCGTGCATTCTGATTTCTGATTTTGCAATGTCTGCTAATGTAATTCTATTGTGTGTTGTATTTCTGTAATTTCTTTCTTTTCCTCCATAGATTGCTGGAAATGATTAAGGGGGGAGTCTGGTTTACCGGCTTCAAAAAATCGATTTTTTTTTGCCTTAAATCTATTCAAAAACTATCCAAGAATATGTCTTCAAAATTTCAGAGGCCAATTCGACATATTACCGAAGCTAGAATAGTTTTAGTGGCCGAGCGTCGAGCAGGTAGTGCTAGAGGCAGCCCGTTGGGCAGACCCGAGTGCGCGCGCTCCACCCCTCGTTGTATTCTATTATTCGACGATACTCGTGTTTACCTGAAAAGGTCCAACCATTGTTTACAACATCATTTGGAGTTATAGTTCCATATAACGGTATACCATATACTATAGCTCTCGGCATCGGCTTCTACGCAGCTGCTTGTAGCGTTAGTTTGCAGTTTCATTTTTGATTTTACCGAGTACGCATCGAAATGTCAAGCTATCCGAAAGGAGATAAAACTAATAGATCGCGTGCTGCGGCAGCACGAAAGCGGAAATTTCACGGCAACCGTTATAAAAGTGCTCGATCAGAAAGCGAAGATTCACATACGAGCCGCAGTCAGCAAAAGTTAACGACAGCAAGCAGCGATGATATCATTATTCATTCTGCGTACTGCTACCGCATCATTGAATTCATTTCGGAGCTCGCAATTTGTAGCACGTGCAATCAGAAATTAACGTTTACAGAAAGCGGTCATCGAGGCCTAGGATTTAGAATTATTGTCCAGTGTATGTGCGGTCGACGCGAAATCCCATCAGGACCATTCGTAGGTACCGGTTACGAAATCAACAGACGTATTGTTTTTGTTATGAGGCTTCTTGGTGTCGCACGAGAAGGGATAAACGTATTCTGTAGTCTCATGGATATGTCTGCAGGTTTTTCAAAATCTACCTACCAAGGAATCGTTGAGCATTTGCACGCAGCGTCAAAAACAATGTTCGAGAGCACCTGTGAAAAAGCCGTCAAGGAAGAAAAAGAAAAAAACGTTGAACATGAAAGACCTGCGAATCATTTGAAGGTGTCGGGCGATGAATCGTGGAAAAAGCGCGGTTATACTTCTTTGTACGGTGTAACAATGCTCATCCCGACACTACAGTGGCAAAATAATCGATCTCGTAGTAAAAAGTGGATATTGTCATTCGTGTGCCATAAATAAAAATTCGTTGGACGACGACGCATTTGAGGAGTGGTATGAAAATCATAAAGAGTCTTGCTCCTCAAATTATAGAGGTTCGGCAGGGAAGATGGAGGTGGATTCCATACTGGAGATGTTTTCGAGATCGGTCGAGAAATTCGGAGTTATATACACCAACTATATCGGCGATGGTGACTCCAAAACGTTTACTGGAATCTTAAATAGCAATCCTTACGGCGACGAGTGTACAGCGACGAAAAATGAGTGTGTTGGACATGTGCAAAAGCGTATGGGTACGCGTTTGCGTAATAAAAGAAAAGCCGAGAAACTCGGAGGGAAGAAGCGGCTAACGGAGACTGTAATCAAGAAACTAACGATATACTATGGTCTGGAAATTCGTCGAAATATTGATTCAGTGGAAGATATGAAGAAAGCTATTATAGCGACTTTAGACCACTACTGTTCCACGGATGAGAATCCTCGGCATGAAAATTGTCCTGAAGGCGCCGAGAGTTGGTGCGAGTGGCGCAAGGCTGAAGCGGCAAATAATCTTTCATCTTATAAACATCCGGCGAGATTAATCGATGAAACCGTGGAAAAGCACATTCGTCCAATTTATAAAGAGCTCTCTAATGACGATTTAATGACGCGGTGCTTAGGCGGCCACACTCAAAATTCTAACGAATCGTACAATTCGATTGTGTGGCGCCTAAGTCCGAAACACTTGAATTCGGGCTATAAAATCGTCGAAATTGCAGCATACATGGCTGCAGGAATGTTTAACGAGAGCTACTCTGCTGTACTTTCCACCATGCAGCACCTCAATATTATTGTCGGACAGCAGTGCAAAAATTTTGCTGACGCCGCCGATGCTGAGCGTGTAATACGAGAGAACCGGCGCACATCACTTTCAAGCAAGGAGGCTCGTACAGCCCGAAAATTGGATACACTTAGCCAAAACGAGTTTTTTGAAGAAGAGGAAGGATCAATGTATGGCCCAGGGATAGCTGATTAACCTCTCATTACTGTAAGTACCCAAAAACTTAAATTTTTTTGGACCGAAAACTTTAAAGCGCGTTTTCTCGAGTTTTCATTTTTCCGATTTTTAGAAAACGGCCCAGATGATAGCAAAAAAAAATATACGTCCGATCGAAAAAAATCAAAGTTATCTAGCTTCAGTATTAAATTATGCTCTAGTTGTACTAAAAAAGTTTGACAAAAGTGTTATTTAAACTACTTTTTTTGCAACTTAAAGTGATATTTTTTTTTAAAAAAAGGGAATTTTTTTTTAAACTTCGAAAAAAATTTGGAATTTGACAACTTCTTCAGTATTTTTTTAGTTCATATAGAAAATACACTTATAAAATTTAATAAAAAATTTGTTTCGACTGTTTCAGATGCACCGCACGACCTCCATCACCAGGGCCGATTAGAAAGTGAAATACTAGGCGCTCCGGCAAAACGATCATAAATTGAATAACTTTTAATGGTTTTTAATAATAAAAATTGCATTTTAAAGCTAAAATATAATACATTATGTTCTCAAAATTTCGTTTACCGCAGCATTTTCTTCCTTTTCAAAAAAATTGCTGAAAAACGCTTTTTTTTCGGCTCCTAAACCAGACTCCCCCCTTAAGTTAGGAAATCTTTATCATGTATGATGGAAATTGGTATTTTATTTTCTCCTGGAGCTATTTTTACTTCTTTGGTATAGATATTTTTGTCTTCTAGTAATGTTTCTGTATTTCCTGGATTTAATGGTTCCTCTTCTTCATCTTTTTCATTATGTGATAATTCGTGTTCTATATTTGGGTTTATTTTCATTTCATCATTGTTAATTCTGTCATAATTGTTCAAGATATTCATCCATTCTTCATCTAATGTTATATTGTGTTTTTCGTATAAATCTGTCTTTATTAAAAAATTTAAAGCTTCTAAAATTCTTCGTGAACGTATTACTTGATAACTATAATGATGTTTATCTGTTATCCTTCGACAGAGTTTTATATGAATCATTTGTAAATTATCAATTTGTCTTGGTAATTTTGTTATGAAAGAATTTACTTCTACTGGAATATTTACACAATTTCCTTTTAAGCCATATTGTTTATCTATTCCTAATTTCCTTATTTGGAGGAATGGTAATCGAGGAGATATAAATCTTTCTTCCATTGTTGTAAGATCTATTAAACTGTCATCTATATTATCAAATTGAAATCCATTCACCAAAGCTAATTTAGGTATTCTTTTGTGTTACGTAGGGCCGAAGGGCGTACGTAATTGTGCCTTTTATAGCAACAAGCGGCACGTATCTCGTTGTGGGCAAAACTACTTCGGCAAGATCCCACTTGCCTTCACGCTAATATTAACTAAACCCTCTTAATTTGAATACTTATCAACTTTGTTATATTATTTAAATAATTTAATGTAATCTATTATTAATTTGTTCGTAGGGTCGAAGGGCATACGTAAATGTACCCTTTCTTCAGCAACGAGCGGTACGTTTCTCGTTGTGGAGTAAACTGCACAAGTCCCCGCTTGTCTTCGCGTTATTGTCGAGCAATCTAGCTCAAATAATAATATTAATCATTAACCCTAATTCATAATACCCAAAATATATGTATAATTATTTAATTATACAACACTATGACCGATATTAACCAATATTTGCCTATAATAACTAAATTGTCCCGTATGTCTATAAATCTGACTATATGCTAAACCTATCCCCTATATAGATATATATAGAAAACGAATAATTGTAATTTATCTAAACGTGAGAATTATATGTAAATATATGTAATTACGTATTCAAGTGTAGAATACAATGGTACGCTAGGTGTAGTTCGGCTCAATTCCGTCCAAGTGGCACGCGTTTGCATGGGTCAACGCGTGGACCTTAAGACGGTGCGATTCGAGTGGCGCGCAAGTGTTGCGCCGGCGCGTGCACCTTAAGACGGTCCGATTCGATCGGCTCCCAAGTATTTGCTGCGCCAGCCGTGGAGCGCTGAATTAGACTGCGCGGGATCGGGTTCCGTTGCCACGAGGAATATCGTGGCCGAACCGACGCCTCGTTGTAGATGACGCAATCGACTTCGTTTGCGATTTATATATATATGTATAAATGTATCGATACGAATCGATACTGCACGGCGATATATTAACTCGATTCGATTTGTTAATAGATATATTACCGATAAATGACCGGTATTTTAATATAATAAAATGAACAATGTACACTATTTTCATGCACGCGGTATAGGTTAAAAGAAATCCTACGACGATTCTACTCACCCGCGAATGCCGCGTGGAAAGGAAATAATCAGTATATAGATAAATTGATATAATGATACTTTTATTGTTACTACTCACTTTGATTAATTGTCCTGATTAATACAGTATTCAATGAATTCGATAATAGACTTTTATCTTTTTCTCTCTTTCTCTCTCTCTCTGGAGATAATTGTGATAATTCAAAATAATAATGGTCCAAAATAATCTTGGTCCTCTTTAATCTTTTCTTGAGATAGTTTTATTCAAAATAATAATGGTGCTCTTTAATCTGATATACTTCACTTGTATATTAACTTGTAATAATTTCTGCACGTGGCCCGTGCGTGGCACTGAATTAACTTTATTGTATGAAAATACTTTGTTCCGAGCTCAATGGCTTCCGGTAAGGAATAGAACGAGGCAGTACGTTGCACACTGGCTCCCAGCACTGATTTCCCCCTCCCAAGGAGCAACTGCAGTGCTGGCAATGCACACATGCACATGCTCGCTTGCTATGCTCGAGAGTGAGAAAGTGAGAGTGAGATAGAAGTCGTTCTATGTCTATCTATGTATACGTATATATATATATATATATTAAATCGGCAAGCGCACCCGGTGTCGCATTTCTATAATCGCATTAGCTGACGTAGAAAGGACCGTCGGAAGGGCAGCTGACTTCCATTTTTGATTAATATACAATATAAACAACCTTTTGTTTCAGTTTCACAATATTCGCGATGACTCGATTTTTTTAGTATTTCGCGAACGGCCAGCTGACCGGCTCGGCCGCGTCGGATAGCCAGCTGACTGTTATTTTCCGATAATACAGAGTATAAACAACCTGTCATTTCAATTTCATCCAATCCGCAATCACACAATTTTTTAAATCACTTTACAAGTTGGTGGGTGGGCGGTTTGGGTGGGCCGCGCTACTTTGGCTTATAACCACTGACTAACTCTTAGTTAAGGTAACTATCATACAAATAAATTTCAAGCGATCCAAAATGACTGCCCTGTTTTGCAGCTGGCTCCCTGACTATAAGATGTGCACGGAGCGAATAGCCAATACTACCTTAACTTTGGCACAATCTTGAATCACGTATTGAAAACCATAAGACAAGTATTTTTCGCGGAAAATAGCAGTGTAGAAACGCCCACGTGTTAAATTTCGTATTGATTTGTCTAAATTTATCAGAACTTCATTTTTTAACGTTTTTTTTTATTTTCAACAGGGCAGCATACAACGCGGCAGTAAATGCAGTGTGCCAAAACGCACAGGTCATTTGTTGCACTTGCAATAGTGCATCAGCTGAGGAAATGAAAAAGTTTAAAATCCAACTCTTGTTCATCGACGAAGCGGGTCAAGCCCACGAGCCAGAATGCCTCGTTCCAATCATCCATAAGTTACCGAAACGTATAATTTTGCTCGGTGACCATCATCAGTTGGGTCCAACCATAATATCTAAAGATTTCCGTCAAAGCTTGTTCGGGAGATCTCTATTCGAACGCTTTATAAATCAAGACGTTCCAAGTATCACTTTGCGGATTCAGTATCGAATGGATGAATTAATATCAAAATTTCCGTCCATTGAATTTTACAATGGTCTCTTGATTGACAAAAACCTACCAAAATCAATATTCAAATTTGAAAATTGTTCTTACCCACTCGTGTTCTTCAACGTCAAAAACAGCAAAGAAAAAACTGTCTGTAAATCTAGAATAAATCTGGAAGAAGCGAACATAGTTATATCGCTTTTGAAAGGTCTTTATAACCAGAAAAAAATAAAAGCTAAACAAATAGGAATCATAACACCTTACCAAGCGCAAGCAAAATTGATAAGAAACAAGCTTAATTCCGAAATTATAAAAGATGATGAGCTCTCCATCAAACCTATACATGGTTTTCAAGGCCAAGAGAAGGATATCATATTGATATCATTGGTGAGAACGCAAACATTAGGTATAAAAAATATTATTTTTGTATCTGATCCATTCGAATTCATGCCGGCTGTAAATATTGATATTAATATTTTACTTTTTGGGTCTCGTTTTTAGTACGAAGTCATATAGGGGTCGAGACCCTATGCGATTGACCGAAAAATCAAATTTCCATATACTTAGGATTTGAGTTTTTTATGCCCAAAAAAATACTTATTTAGTGGTAAAACTTTACCAACTGCTTTCTAAAATTTTTCCGTCCGTGCAAGACCCTATCATGACAATATTAGTTAGACTCGGGTGATTTTTTATTAACTATGTGGATTAAATACATAGTTTTCTGAATAATTAAAATAAATAATGTCAGTTATATATATATATATATATATATATATATATATATATATATATATATATATATATTCGATGACCAATAACGAAGATGAGCAAAGTCCACGCGCATTGCTTCTGAGAGATTCAAAGAAAAATTTGAGAAACAATGAACTTTTGATAAAATGACCTACTAAAACGTGAAAAATTATGAGACATCGAAAATTTTTCGAAAAAAGTAAAAATTCTTGAAATTTCGTCAAATTAACGAAGATGAGTAAAGTCCATGCGCATTGCTTTTATGAGGTTCAAAAAAAATTTTGAGAAATCTTGAAATTTCGATAAAATAAGCAAAAAAGTGAAAAAAGTGAAAATTCATGAAATTTCGTCAAGTTTACGAAAAACGTTACAAAAAGTGAAAAATCTTGAAATTTCGTCAAATTTACGAAAAATGTGAAAAATCTTGAAATTTCG